TCCTTGCAGTACATGTCACAGGTCACTAAGGGATTCTGCATGACAGTGTTTGAATTAGTATAAATCCACTGTCACTTAGAAAGTAGAAAAGTGTATTCCGATGTGGGGGGTATCTGCATACGGAGACAGATAAAGAACGGCGTGCCAAATGCTCTGGTACCCAAATAGCACGACAGATATGAACTGAAGAAAAGAGCCTGGCGCCAGGATCTGAACATGATCTGACAGATGGTGAGCCGGATGTAAATCCTAGTCTCCCAAAATCAATAAAAGTGTGGTAATGACTACTCTCCTTAAAATAGAATTCTTTACCATAAAGAAATCATCTTGAGATTTAAAAACAAAAATGACTTTCAGTTGCTAAGATAAAATATCACTCAGTGTGTTATCAGAGGGAATGAAATTTTCTGCACTTTTTCTGAAAACATCCACTGCAGAACACAAGTGTTTCGTTCTCTCTAATGCCTAATTGGTAGAATATTTCATGTAGATTCAAGGAGGCACACTGGCTCACTTACACCACTGAAGAACAACTAGACACTAGCAAACCTCTGAGTAGTAAAGATGCCACTTAAGATTCATTCATACCGTATTCCATAAACATGTACTAACCCTGTCTTACGTGCCAGGCAATCTGCTGGGTCCTGGAGTTCCTACTTCACAGAATGGGCTGCTATGGAAGTGCCAGCTGTCGCTTGTTGCAGCCATAGTACACAGACGAGTAAATAAAGGTATCCCAATTGCCCCAAATAACACCTTCCAGCACCAAGGCCTGTGAACTTACTCACCCATGGCCACTCTGTGAGTCACTAGCGTGAGTCAGAGATCCAAGGTGGTCTACACGTGGTTCCCTTTTGTCTGCGGTCGTATTTTCTTCCCACTTCCCTAATTTCCTAAAATATATCTTTCTCATTGCATATTTAATTCCCTCTCCCTTGGTGTTATAAACCTTGGGGGCATACACTAAAAACTCAGCCACGATGAAGCTTTTTTTTTTTTTTTTAGAAAAAGGAGTTTGAGATAATGTTAAGGTACTTGTTTAGCTGTTAATCCAGGATGGGGTATACAAATCACTTCTTTCATTAAATTCAGCTTCCCAGGTGAGGACTTCCCACAGCTGACCAGAGACACCATCAGCAGAGGTACAGTTAGCTTTGCTGGCTGTTCCTGAAAATAGAAGGAAAGCAAGGGGAACTGAGAAACATGGTTCATCCGTCCTGAGAAACTCATGGGTCCTGGCAATGGAATATGACGGGTGCTAACCTGCTGGTGCTTCAGTAACGCAATATTTAAGTAGAGAGGATTACTGTCCAGCATGGCGCTGGTTTTGGCAACAGCAAGTGACACAGCCCCAATGGCCATGCTGCCACAGAGTACCGGTTCGCCAGGTTCTGGAGGTAGAATTGGTGTTTCTGTAAAGGTATCCTTCCTCCCTGAAGAAAAAAAAATTCATAAAAGATTACTTTTTACGAAGTTTTGACTATGATAAAACTATATTTTTTAAATGCTTTACTTATAGATGTGAAGGCCCCAAAAAAGAAAAGTTGAAAAGTGAGGCTGGGAAGAATACATTCTCCATCAACTCCTGAGAAGTTTCTGTTTGATTTTACTTTCTACTCCCTAATGCTCAAATGATCCTGAGTCATGGATTCTGCCTAAGGAATTTTAGAACATTCAGTATTAACTCCTTCAACAATCGTACGTGAAGATATTGTTATCTCACGAATAAGTAACCTGGGACTTAGGTTAAGAGACTTGCCCAATATCTAACAGAAAGTGAATGAAGGGAGGATTTGGACAGTCTTTGAATATCAAACCCTTTGTTTTCCTATGTTCTGTCACAGCTCTTGCACACCCAACTTCATGTTGAACATGTGTATATCTAACTAGTTATCCTTCTTGCCAACCCCAGACAGATGCCTTTTTCTATTAGAAGTTCCTTCCAGATATAACCGTCCACCCAGAATCCTTACCCACCTTTCACTATCACATATTCACAGCCATCCAGTCTGATCGGGTACCATGGTGTCCATAATAAATCTCTAGTGTCCCTCCTGTCCTCTCCTTCCCCACAGCTGCTGATCTGACTCAGCAGGTAAGATAAGTGGAATAAGATATGTAAGCACCTAAGACATTAAATGGTTAGCAAATTTATCCCCTCCTACTTCTTCCCTTCCTACATTCCAAGTTCTATCAGTCAGCAGCAGCCACCAACCAAACATCCATTAGAGGTCTCTACCTGTAGTGGCCACCCCTACCCTGCCAAGAGGAGAAAGGTCGAACATGACTCTCTTGCCGTGGACAACTCTCCTCCCCTCTCTGGGCCTCGGCATCTGAATCTATGAAATAAGAAATCTTGTCTCTGTGGTTTCCTTGATCCCTGCTTCTAGTGCTTTCTTATTCAGTGGAACCCACACTTATGCAGTGTTTGGTTTGTGCCCAGCATTGTGCTAAACTAAATGAGGCACGATTCAAGCCCTTAAGGAGCGTGTTCTAGGTGGACAGACGTCCAAAACACTGCTACAACACAAGCAGCAGCTCCAGAGTTAACATACTGGCAGGGCTGAGGTTAGCAATATGTTAGAAGGCATGGAGCAAAGGGCTGTGATAACTTCAATTATCTGCCCTAAAATAGCAGTTTTCCAAGACAATTTTTATTAATAGGAGACTGAGAAATGAGAAAGTGAGACTGAGAAACTAGGACAGACAGAATGTTGGTTATCCACATCAAAGGATATGAAAGAGGCTTTCTGATGAGCTAATGGAAATTTTGAGGAGCAGTTGAAGGTCTCCTGTGCCACCCTCCCCTTTCCTGCCTTGGGCATTGCCACTGTTCAGTGCACTTTGTTTAGTGAGTTCTCTCCACTGGGTAACAAATATTTTTATCTTACAAATAAAAAAGGATGGTGGGATGAGGTAAAACCATGCCTATCCAACATAGTAACCACAAGCAAGGAAGAGGCATGGAGGATGATGCATGGTATCTGGTGGGGACCCAACCTAGGTCTCCAGCAGAGAGACTCTAACTCGGAAAGGCAGTCCAAGGTTCCACTTTTCTTCCTCCACATTTGTTACTAAAGGTTCTGCAAGATGAGAAGCCACCGACCTTGTTTTTGTCCCTTTTTTTTGGTTGGAGGTGGAGGAGGTGCTGGTGGTGTTAGAGGTGAAGATACAGGCACTGCTGAGTCTTCCAGGCTCTTTTCCGATTCTTTTCTCTCCTTATCTTCTTGTACTTTATTTTCAAAGAATGTCCTTTATGGGAAGAAAATACGGCTTTACAATGACTTATTTAGGAATATTACTTATAATTTTGGTCATGTTTTAGTGCTGACCCCAATATGTTTCAATAGTTAACTCTGCTTTTTAATCTACCTAACAACAAATCAGCTTCAGTTTCCAAGACTAAAAAAATGATGCTGTTATAAAACTGTGTTCAAGAACTGAAATTTATTTTGGCTTGGAAATAAATGTTTCAAGACTTTAAAATTATTTGAGCCCTGCTTGTTATTTTTAAAAGTAAAATTTTTAGATTAAATTTGATTACGGGCTATTGGATTTTCTTTTTGAATAAATGACCATCAGAAGAAAAAGGCAAAAATAGACAGTAAAATGTATAGCACTATGTGGGGACTTCCTTTTCTTTCTTTCTTTTTTTTTTTTTTTTGAGGGACATGCTTAAGGTGAACAGATAAAAAAAAAAAACCAGGAAATCCAACTTAGGTACATCTACATAAAATTTCAGCTCCCCAGAGCTAAAAACCTCTGTAGACAAAAAACAAACAAAAAACAAGACAAAACAACAACAATAAAAAGTAAGCAAAAAAAAAAAAAGACAGGGGAATCAGATTTGCATCAGATGCTGGTGGGGCAGGGACTTTAAAGTACTGAAAGAAATTGATTTCAAATAAAAATTCTATACTCAGCTAAATTGTCAACCATGAAGGCAAAGTGCTGACATTCCCACACATGTAAGAAGTTTAAAAATTTACATCCCAAATACCCTTTCTCATCCTTACTTTTAAAGGATGTAACCTAGCAATTCAAGAAAGAGGAGATATGGGATCCAGGAAACAGAAGAACAAGGAAGAGATCTGTAGTTGGCCTAAAGAGGAACCAGACAACATGGGAGGTTTGGGGAAGGGAAACTCCAGGGAAAAAAGAAATGAAATAGAAGGAATGACAGAAAGCCTGGTAGAAAAAACTAACGCTACGTTAACAGCAAGTAACAGGCACACACGCACACACACACACACACACACACACACACACACACACACAAAGGAATAAGTAGAGTAGCATTCAGAAAGTCTAAGACAATCAAAAACTATTCAAAAACGTTTTTTTTATAAGGTCATGCTCCAGCTCTGAGGCAAATGAAAATGTGATGCTCTGCACAATTAAGCAAGCGATGAAGCTTAGAGAAAGAGAATCCAGTTAACCTTCTTTGGCCAAGAGGGCTGTGGCATTGGACCTGCACAAGAGGAGAGGTGATGGTAAGCCAAACTTGGCTGGGCGTTGACAATAATCATAGAGCCCCTCTTAAACACTTCTCTGGTTTTCACATTTTAGGGTCAACATACAGGCAAAACCTGGAAGACTTGGTTGTGTCTGGAGGTCAGAATGTAAGCACCCCTTGTGACGATATAAAAGGATAAAAGACCCTCATGGGAGGCACACGAGGAGGTGGGGAGACGGAAAGGACGTAATCTGGATTCTTAACTTAATCCTTTTCCTGAGAAATTTTTCACTGAGTCCTGTGAAAGCTCTATGCATAAATAGAGGCCAAAAAGCCTTACATAGCCTTACACAGTAGAATGTTAATAACCAGGGTTTTCAGAAGAAAAACAACATTTTAAGCTAAATTTTGCTGCTTTAGCATATGCTTCTTAATCGACTTCCTAACTGTACCCTGTAGATACAACAGACCTGTTTTATTATTGGCAGGTAAAATGGAAAGAAAAGAAGTACATAGTTATACTGGACACTTACAGGTCAAGGTGTGAGATTTACCTGAGCACCTGGTCCACCTCGGCCTGGCTGGAGGGTGCCATCCCTCGAAGCTCCTGGGTGATGGTTTCGTTGACCCACCGCACGGCCGTGCTGACGGCCTCCGACCTCTCTATGTTCTCCGCTTCAACTAGCTCGGGTAAAGCGTTCTCATGGACTTCGAAGTGAGTTGAGATCACCACAGAACATATGTTCTGAAAACAATACAAACATGTTCTGCATTTTCCCTCCCTTTTACAGGAAATAGGATACTGAATGTACCCAGCTTTTGAGGTAGATGATATTTTACCACCTTTCAAAGAGAAAATGAGAATCTATAATTTTCTTTGAGATATTTTTATAGCTATTGAAATACTGTGGGACCTAACTTCAAGGAACGTTTAAAATTATTACCTTGTTAAAATACCCTTATAAAAACCTTACACTAAACTTCATTTTTATCACTTCAATAAATAGCTAAAGGGACACAGAATCAGTCATAATTATTTTTCTCCCAGAGACTGCAGCAAAATTACTTGTAACAACAAATACGTAATAGTTAAAATGGATTATCAGAATTACAAAAGTGAATTTTTCTTTATGCAGACCAGTCTACATACCTATAAATCCTATAAAACTATATAGGTCTATATATAGATATATGAGTCTATAAACCTATCTGCAGATTTATAGAACTCATCACATTAATAACGTCAGATTTCTAAAACTATGTTTGCCTTTTCTCCATCTTAGGTCATCTTTAAGTTAGCAAGCCACGTCTGTACCAATAGTACATTTAAACCTAATAAAGCCATCATGGTACAGTGTATAACACGCTTTGTGTACACGACTACCTACAAATAGTGTGCATGTATTTCATAAACACTGAATTTCAAAACATTAATTTTCCACAGTTTAGATAATAAATGCCAATATAAGCAGTGGAGCCAGGATACAGTGGAGAACACATTTAAGCTACCTCCTACCTTGGGAAAATTTTGAACGGTGCAGAATATTTCCACTTGTAGGGTTGGAAGCCCCAGTCCATCCAGTACATTTTTCCCCACTACTCTGCATATGGTGGGAGGCTTTGCAAGTTTCGAAAAGCAGTTTGCCTTTGACACACACAAAAAAACACAAAAATCACAATACCACATTGAATTTATCTTTAAAAAGTCATTCACATTTAGTTTAGTTTCTACTAGAAATAGTTTCCCATCCCTGAAGTCCTCTAACATGTAGAGAAGCATAGAAAAACTGCCATTTGCATTGAATACTGGAGGTTGTGAAGTATTTCAAGAGGCAGACAAGGGGGAGATGGAGCAGATACTTCAGGAAGAGGGAACAGGATAAGCAAAGGGGGAGAAGTGGGAAACTTCAGGCTTTATGGGAAAGTAAGTGGGCCTGCGTGGAGGAGGCGGGGCGGGATAAGCCTATTACCCAAGGGAGGGGCAGGCATGATGAGTCACACACTGGAACGTGTTTGATCTTACTCAGCCCGCAAGTGGGAACCACAGGAGGTTTCTGAGCAAGAGAATGATGGCCAGATTTGGGATTAGGAACATTGCTCTGGCAGCACTACGTGCGATGGACTTGATAGGAGAGACCAGGTGAGAATTAGGATGCCCAAAACGAGGAAGGGACTGAGACAATGGAAGGGAGATTGCCTTATTGCCAGTCCAATCCCTGAACATCCTCTGAAGCCCAAGCCAACATTCCGAGATGCTAGAGCCCACAGGGGTCTTCCCCACCCCTGAATTCCTTTAACAGACACATAGCGATCTGATCCAGTTGAGCACACAATCATGTATCACCCCATCTATCTGTGGCCTTTGTCCCTAACTCAGGTACAAGCTCCCAGAGAACACTGCAAACCGAAGTCCTGGCTGCCTAACAGACGGGGAAGAGCTTTACACTGGGGACAAGAGTCCAAGTTTCCAGTCTTACCTTTCATACTAAGTAGCCGTGAGACAAGGTCTTGGTGTCTTTGTAAAATGAAGAAGTTAGACTAGTTAACTTTTAAGGATTCCCGCAGCAAGAGACAGTGGAAAGAGAATGGAATTCAGACTTGCATTCACTCATTCATTCCACCAATAGTTTTCAAGTGTCCATATGCACCATGCCCTTTGCTAGGTACTAAGGACACAGATTTGGTTTGATTTTTTAATGTCATTTACTGTGTCCCTTGGGAAAATCATTTAAATTCACTGGGCCACGGTTCCTTTTTTGTAAAACAGGAATCATGTTTACCTCACCGTGGCCCTAAGAATGAAGTGAAATCACATGAAGCACAAAGCGCAAGTTACTCAGTAAACACCTCCCCCAACCCCCGATTTGATGTAAAGGCCACTACTAAGAAAAATAAACATTCATGGAACATCCCCTATATTCACTGCCTCAACAAGAGTGGTTTTGAACCTTGTAAATACATCACGCTTCTTCACAGCATTTACATACTCTGCTCCGTCTTGTCACATTGCCTCACCATAGAGCAAATTCCTACCAGTTCCAACCACGATGCCTTCCAGAAGGTAGGTGTTGGTTAGTATTTATGGATCTGGAATTGAGAAAACGCTTGCCTTTGTTTCAACCGCCCACTCCTTAAGGCTAATGTGCCCAGATCGTGCACTCGCTTGGCACAGGGGCTAGAAGGACCATATGAAAAGGCCCCGCTCTCCGCAGGAGCTCACAAGCTGCCAAGGGAGGGTGTTAATACGTGCAGGGAGTGCTGCAAGAACGCTGAAGGACGACTGGTCCAGGGCGAAGTGGTCAAGACTTTGATCTAAATTTGAAATTTAGTTGGGAGCTGGTCAGGTGGGACCGGCATCCAGGCACAAAAGGGCGCACAAGCCAAGGAGCAGAGGTTCAAAAATCGATTGAAACTTGGAAGCGATGGGAGCCTGCTGGGTACGAGGCCCCGGTGTAGGCTGAGGCCAAGTCGTCGCAAATGCCAAGGCGTTCGTCCCGTGGTCAAGAGGAGGCTGCTGAATGTTGGTAAACTGAGCTACGAGGTATTAAGGTCTGTGATTAAAAAGACAACTGGCAGCTGGGGGAGGCCGCCCAGAGGTAGCGAGGATGCCTGCCAGGCCCTGAGCTGTCGCCGTAGCTACAAGTCCGCCTAGAGCCCTCTTTCCTCTAGCTGCTTCCAGTCCACCACTTTCTGACTGGAGATTCCTTCGCCCAGGTTTCCTCTCTGCTTCCTTCCTTCGGGGTTGCGTCTCCGCCCGACCACGCGCCCCGACCCCCGCGGCGGCAGC